AGGGTGGCATCATGACTTCCCGATCCGCACGGCGCTGTGCATGACAGGGAGCGGTGCCCCAACTCCCTAATCGGCCCTGCTCTGAGCCCGACCAGGGGCTGCACCTAGGGATTGGGCCTGCCCTCTGCCACCCGGGAGCAGGCCTAAGCCAGCAGGGTGTTATCTCCCGAGGGGTCCCAGACTGCGAGAGGGCACAGGCCGGGCTGAGGGACCACCCCTCCCCCCTGAGTGCACAAATTTTTGTGCACCGGGCCTCTAGTATAATCATAAAAATACAGCATAAAAGATAAAAAATGGCACAACCCCAACATAGCACTTACCCTAATGGAGCTTGCAGGCCTGGGAGTTGCTCTGGGTGAGTCAGTGAGTGGTGAGTGAATATAAAGGCCTAGGACATTGCTATGCACTACTGTAGACTTTATAAACATTATACACTTAGGCTACACTAAATTTATAAAGTAAGATTAAATCAGTAACAAGAGAAAATGATGCAATCAAGAGACACGGTAAACATGAGATGAAGCTGCTGCCAATGTAACAGTGTACTGTTTTATAGCAAACTATTTTTTTAAAATGTTTTTATTAATTTTAGAGAAAGAGGAAGGAGAGGGATAGAGAGATAGAAGCATCAATGAGTCATCAATTGGCTGCCTCCTGCACATCCCCTATTAGGAATTGAGCCTGCAACCTGGGCATGTGCCCTGACTGGGAATAGAACCGTAGCCTCCAGGTTCACAGGTCAACACTCAACCACCGAGCTACACCAGCCAGGCACAGCAAACTATTAAAAATTTTTAAATTTACTTTTAGAAGGAGAGAGAAAAATATTGATATGAGAGCAAAATATCAACCGACTCCTGCACGCCCCCTACTGGGGACTGAGCCTGCAACATGGGCATGTGCCTCAACTGGAAATCAAACCAGTAATCTTTCAGTGCATGGGACAAGACCCAACTAACTGAGCCACACTGTCCAGGGCACAAACTATTTTTTGTATAGGTAGAAATAGTAACACTCTAAAATAATGATAAAAAGTGTAATATAGTAAATATGTAAATCAATAACATAGTCATTTATTATCATCAAATATTAAGTACTGTATATAACTGCATGTGTGATTTGACTCAGGTTTGTTTACATGAGCATCACCTTAAACACATGAGTAATGTGTTGTGCTATGATGTAACCATGGCTATGTCTCTAGTTGATAAGAATTTTTCAGCTCTATTATAATCTTATGGGATCACCATCATATATGTGGTATGTCACTATATGGCACATGACTGTATCTAAAATACATTTTTAAAGTTCTAGAAAACAATAAAATAGCCAAAAAGAAAATATGCAAAATATAGGAACCAAAAAAAGTGAACAAACAGCAGCTGTCACTAAAAATTCTCAAGATATTCTGTCTTGAGGTTAAAGGCTACCTGAGCACAGAGAATAGGTGAAATTTTACACCACACCTGTTTTTTTAGTTTTGTACCATGTGTATGTATTGCCTTTTCTGAAATATATATAAAAGTGCTACTTTAAAAAAATATTACATGTTTTATATTTAGCCACGTGTATTAATTTAGCCAATATTTTCCTATAAGATTATGAATTTCCTGAGACATGTAAAGACAATGTAGAATTTATTTTTTCATTTCCTTCTTATATATCCTAATATTTAGGATAGGACACTGCTTCCAAATATATTTGCATGTTGAACAAAGCCCACCAGTTTTATGGAGGCAATGGTCATTTCTAATATTGTCTCTTGCAACCTTCCACACATTTGTGCTTGGTGAAAAGTGGTGTTCAGTAAGGGCTAAATGAATGAAGGTGATAGATAACTATGTATTTTGTTTTTAGCATTCCAATCTGGTAAAGTTTTCAGATTTTAAATACTCCTTTTGCTTTGTATTCCTTGACTAATTTCTTTCCCCCAAAATTAATATTAATTAGTTTAAGACAAATAGAGCAGAATAATTGTTTATTCATTTTTATCCATCATTACGGTGACAAATTTCAAACATTTAAGAAATATATATTTTTATTGATTTCAGAGAGGAAGGGAGAGGGAGAGATAGAAACATCAATGATGAGAGAGAATCATTGATTGGCTGCTTCCTGCACACCCTCTACTGGGGATTGAGTTCGCAACCTGGGCATGTGCTCATGGCTGGAATTGAACCTGGGGACCCTTCAGTCCACAGGCCAACGTTCTATCCACTGAGCCAAACCAGCTAGGGCCAAACATTTCAATCATAGTCACTCTAATTCTTCTCCTTTTAAAAATATCACATTATCTCACTTACATGTGGAATCTAATGAACAAATTAAACTGGTGAACAAACATGGTCAGAGTCATGGAAGCATGGAATAGACTGACAGATCTCAAAGGGAAGGGGTGGGAGGTGAGTTGTTGGGAAGAGATTAACCAAAGAACTTATCTATCCTATATAATAAAAGCCTAATATGCTAAGTGTCCAACCATTCGACCAGTTTCTGTGACACGCACTGACCACCAGGGGCAGATGCTCTGATTGGTAGATTAGCTTGCTGCTGGGGTCTGGCTGATCGGGATTGGGCGAGACAAGCCAGACACGCCCTGAAGTCCTCTCGGGGTCCCTCCCGAGCCCCAATTGTGCATTGGCAGTGTCCCTCGGCCTGGCCTGCACCCTCTTGCAATCCAGGACTTCTTGGGAGATGTTGGAGAGCCGGTTTTGGCCCAATCCCCGCACCCCACTGGTGCATGAATCCATGCACCAGGCCTCTAGTCTATATATAAAAAGCTAAGTGACCAACTATCTGTCTGTCCAACTGGCCGGTACATATGACGCGCACTGGCAATCCTATATAATAAAAGGGTAATACCCAAATTGACCCTAACAGCAGAACGACTGGGAATGACTGGTCACTATGACACACACTGACCACCAGGGGGCAGACGTTCAATGCAGGAGCTGCCCCCTGGTGGTCAGTGCGCTCCCACAGGGGGAGCTCTGCTCAGCCATAAGCCAGGCTGACAGCTGACGGCTGCCAGCACAGTGGTGGTGGCAGAAGCCTTTCCCGCATCCTCAACAGCACTAAGGATGTACGACTGCAGCTTAGGACTACTCCCCGCTGGCAAGTGGGCATCCCTTGAGGGCCCCCGGGCTCCCAGAGGGATGTCTGACTGCCAGCTTAGGCCCGATCTCCCCGGGGAGTGGGCCTAAGCCAGCAGGTGGACATCCCTCGAGGGGTCCCAGGCTGCGAGAGGGCACAGGCTGGGCTGAGAGACACCCCAAGTGCACACTTTTGTGCACCGGGCCTCTAGTTTAAAAATAAACATTGACTCGCACATGCACAATACATATAAAGCTCTCACTGGTGCCAACTGCACAAGGGTTGTAATTTTATAATACTACTAGAAGCCCGGTGCACGAAATTTGTGTACTTGGGGCGTCCCTCAGCCCAGCCTGTGCCCTCTAGCAGTCTGGGAGTGGGCCTAAGCCAGCAGGCAGACATCCCCCGAAGGGTCCTTAGTGCTGCTGCGGAGGCGGGAGAGGCTCCTGCAACTGCTGCTGTGCTCACCAGCCATGAACCCAGCTTCTGGCTGACAGGCACTCCCACTATGGGAACGCACTGACCACCAGAGGGCAGCTCCTGTGTTGAGTATCTGCCCCCTGGTGGTCAGTGCGCATCATAGCGACCAGTCGTTCTGCTGTTCAGTCGATTTGGATATTAGCCTTTTATTATATAGGATATTAAATATACTATTTTGATATGTAATTTTTTGCAGTAATGTAATTACCACACAAATCTTTCTCCTAATTAATTTCCTTTCAATGTGCAGCATGAATCTGTGCACCAGGCTGCTAGTATGCACATATGCATAGCTCATGGACACAGACAACAGTGTGGTGAAGGCCTGGGGTGGGGCCGTAGCTGGGTGGAGGGGGACAAAAGGGGAAAAAATGGGGGACAATGGTAATGCTCTCAACAATAAAAATAAGTTAAATATATATAATTGATGTATATTTTTATATATTTTCAAAATTCACCAAAAATTGGAAATCCATTGTTTCTTTCATATTCAATTTCTTTTGTCAGAAATTCTTTACTTATCCTGTCAATTTTATCTCGAGAGAATAGATTGACTTCAGGAATAAAAAAATGCTCAAGATTTTCTGACTTGAGGCAATGAAGAAAGTATTCCAGACATCTATCAAAGCAGAGCTCCAGGTTGTCTCGCCACTGACTGTCATGTGGGTTCTGGGCACATACGTGAAAGAAGGCAGTTTTCACATGGTAAGAACAGAATTTACCCAATTTCTTTTGGTCTTCAAACTTTTCTTTCAATTTTTCTAAAAGATATTTCATTAGTTGTAAACAACGTTTCCTGTTCAATAAAAAAGAAAACCATTTATTTTTACTTATTTATAACCGGCTTCATTCTACAAAGAGTTTTAGGTATCTTACAGGAAGATACAATAAACGATACAGATATTATAATACATATTAAAAACACAAAGATACAGCATATATATATAATTCTAGTCACTCTATTTTTTCAAATATATGCTTTGAAGTTTCAAAAACATATTTTTTCTTCCTGCTTCACCATTCCTAGCTGAAATATTTTATTTTATCAGGATTAATTCAACTATAAAACTAGCAGATATTTGTATTATTCATCCAATGACTTGATAGACTATAAATATTTACATTATTCATCCAATTATTTCATAGTTGACAAAATTTAATGTTTTTAAAAATACTTAGCTTTACCAGCAATATATTTTTCTCAACATTGGTTTCAAAGCCTGTACCTGAAGCTTTAAAGAACCTCCTGGGCCCACATGTTGGACATTCTTGTTTTGACCTTTTAACTTTTGTTACCCTTATACTGGACAACTTTAGAAACTCAAATGAACAATTCTTTTCTAATCTCACTTTTAAAAAATATATATATTTCTTTTATTGAATTCAGAGAGGAAGGGAGAGGGAGAGACAGAAACATCAATGATGAGAGAGAATCACTGATCCGCTGCCTCCTGCACGCCCCCTACTGGGGATCAAGTGTGCAACCGGGCATGTGCCCTCAACTGGAATTAAACCCAGGACCCTTCAATTGGCAGGCCGACGTTCTAGCCACTGAGCCAAACCAGCTAGGGCCTCACTTTTTTATGGTGTGTATGCTACCAAGAAAAAGAATTACCCATTTTTAGTTGTTTCAAATTTAGCCAGTCAGTCCTGGCTTTCAACGCAGCCAAACTATCTCAAAGCAGCACCAGTATCAAAAAGATTGGTTTGGCTCAGTGGATAGAGCGCCGGCCTGCGGACTCAAGGGTTCCAGGTTCGATTCTGGTCAAGGGCATGTACCTTGGTTGCAGGCACATCCCGGGTAGGAGGTGTGCAGGAGGCAGCTGATCGATGTTTCTCTCTCATCGATGTTTATAACTCTATCTCTCTACCTTCCTCTCTGTAAAAAATCAATAAAATATATTAAAAAAAAGATTGATCCTCTAGCACCTTCCCATTATGTGACATTAATATTCATTACCTTGAAGCAAACAGAATACTAAGACACAACCAGTGGCTAATGGCTAATCATGGCTAGTGTCCTTTCTGTCCTATTTCTTGTTCTGTCCTACTTTATACAACCATCTGATCCAGGTTCAGGACTGTGGTCCCTGGCCTTGCCTTCTGACAACACTCTTCCCTTGGTCCCTTGGATCTGGCTTCCCTAGTTTCATGCTCACTCTCTAGATAATATCCCAGGTCAGCCCAGCCATGTGCTGCCCCTAGGACTCAACCCAGTAATGACCATCTTTAGGTCTGATCTATGGAGTCCATTAAAAAATAAACATTCCATCATAGATAAGCCCCTAATTAACAAAATAAGAAAGTTACCTGTAACATTTCACTCCATTACTTTCACAGCATGTTTTTTCTTTTCCATGATTTTTCAAAATGTCCTTTTCAATGTGAGAGAAGGATAGCCGCCATGTTTCTTCTTAATTTCCAAAAGAAAAATAGAGAAGTAATTTACCCAAAGTGCCTACATATAAACAATACAATATTGAAACGATTTCCTTCATTAAACTATCATTCTGAAAAATTTCTAGGGAGATAGAGACCCAAAGAAATGAACATATAATGTAATTACATATTAAAAGAAGTCATTTGAAGCAAACAATGGACCAAAATAGGAAAACATTGGAGGGGAGGGATGGAGCAGGTTGCTTAATATAGTTAGCCATGTAAGCTGTACATATTGCTAAATTCAGTTTGTTAATATATTGTTTCAATAACAATTTGAATTAACTGATTAAAAAAATTTTATACCATTGTTACAAGTTTGGTATTCATGTAAAATGAATTAGGGAACATTTCTATTCCCTGTGAGAGTTTAATTAAGAATAGATTTCTCCCCTTCCCGCAAGTTTTAGCACGGCTAGCTCTTTTAAGTTTTGGCTATCATATTATATAGTTGGTTTTATACCAGGAATGCATGATTGGTTTATAATTTAAAAATCAATCAATATAATCTGTCACATTAACAGAATTGAGGAGAAACATGATCTCAAAAAACCCAGAATATGCGGGTATGAAATTTAACATTCATTCATCAGTTTTTGAAAAAAATGTTTTTATTGATTTCAGAGAGGAAGGGAGAGGGAGAGAGAAATATCAATGATGAGAGAGAATCATTGATTGGCTGTCTCCTGCAGGCCCCCTACTGGGGATCGAGTCTGCAACCCGGGCATGTGCCCTTGACCAGAATCGAACCTGCAACCCTTCAATCTGCACTCTATCCACTGAGCCAAACTGACCATGGCTGATTCATCTTTTTTTTTTTTTAAAAGCCTCAGCAATTTAAATTTGGCTGTCAACTTGATCTGATGAAAGACAGATTTTAAAAAGGACACAGCAACATGATAATATAAGGTAAGAAGCTTAGGTTTTTCCCTTGAAATCAGTTAGGCAGATGTCTGCTATCCCTATTTCTGTTCAACATGCACTGGCTATACTAGCAAGCATAATAAGGGGTCTGGCACTGGAAAGAGAGAAACAAAGGTATCATTAATGATAGATAATACAACTATTTAGGAAGAAAATACAAAAGAAGCTAGGTGACAGATATGTATGAGTTTAGTAAATTCTTCATTCTACTTTTCTATTGGTTTTAAAATTTTCAGACTAAAAACTTACAATTGCCTATGAGTAAATCTAACAAAAGATATATTAAACTTCTGTGGAGAAAACTCTACAATGTCACTAAGAAGTATTAGAGGAAATCTAAATAAATGGAGATATGCACTTATCCATGAATTGGAAAACTCATTATAAATATATCAAGTCTTCCAAATTTTATCTATGGATTCAATGTACTCTCAATCAATATTCAAAAAAATGCTTTGGTAGAACTTGACAAGATGATATGAAAATTTTCATGAAAATACAAGGGGTCAAGAATATCTAAAACACTCATGAAGAAGGACAAAGTGGGAGAAGTTACCCTACCAAATAATCAAGACTTATAAAGACACATTATGTATGACAATATAGTATAGTGCAAGGGTAGACAAAGATTTTAGTGGAACAGAATAAAGAGTGTAGTAATAGCTACATAATATATGGACAGTGGATATGTGGAAAAAGTGGTACTGAGCTAGGTATGCTCATTGCTATATAAATCCATTTATGACAGCCATTTATGCCATTCTGGAAAAGGCAAAACAATAGAGATGGTAAACTATAGAGATTAGTGGTTGTCAGAAGTTTGGAATGGGAAGGATTGAATAAGTGAAGAAGAAGGAACATTTTAGAGCAGTGAAACTATTATTAAGGGTAGAAACATGACACATTGCATTTGTCAAAACCAGTAGAATTTTATAGCACAAAGAGTGAATCTTAATATATGTAAACTGTTAAAAAATCATTTAGGAGGTCAAGGGATCCTAGAAATAATGCAGACTGTGAAAAAGGACTTCAACTGCATTACAAATGTGTAAAACAACCTTTCTGAAAGGGGGGGAGCAAAAGGTGTGGACCTAAATTATACCAAGTGGCCAGATTATTATGACCACCCCACCAGTACAATGAAGTGAATTAGTTATGCAAGTAATAATAATAATAATGATAAAACCTTGAGAGTATTTGCTTAGGAAGTTTTCAATATTCAATATTTTTGGAAGTGTCAATGAAGTACTGATGGGGTGGTCATAATCTCCTGGCTGGTCATAATAATTTGGCCACTCAGTGTAAGACTGAAGGCAAAAGAAACTGTACATTAGCTCTGTACTCTAGTTGGTAACTGTTTTCCATAGAGGAGTGGCTTTGCAATTGTGAAATAACTATATTAGTATGTGCATATTAGAACTGTACAATTAAGCATATAGGTGGCAGATGGGAGAGTCAGGTTTTTCACTGTTGGAATGAGAGGCTACAGATAGCAAGGAAAGAAAGACTAATCCAGGTGATAATGGATTATAATCAGAGACAGTATAAACTCACGAATAACAACATATACAACAGGTAGTTACATATAAAAATATCTTATGGATTGCTGATTTCTGGGGAAACCAAGATGGCGGCATAGGTTAACGCCGGAGATTGCTGCCTTGAACAACCAATTCAAATTACACCTAAAAGATGGAACGGACATCATCCAGAACCACAGGAAGGCTGGCTGAGTGGAAATTCTACAACTAGGAGGAAAGAGAATATCATACCCAGACTCAGAGG